AGTTGGCAATGTGGATTGATGGGATACACCTACTTTGGTGAACTGATTGAGGTATAGTTGGAAGGCAGTCCGAGTAGCTTATAACTTCTTGGGAGTGTCGTAACATTTCCTGATACTATTTTTCAACAATTGTGAGTCATGTGCAATTTCTAGCAAAGTTCACGATGGGCCTTGTCTTTTCTTTGGTTTTGTGTTTTCCAGTTGTGTGTTATTGGTGTTTTCCTTGTTTTTATTTTGTGTTTGTTGTCTTGTTTTCTGTCAGTTGTGTACGTATGCTCGGGGACGAGCATCTCTTTAGTTTGGGGGTATGTGGATATCCGTAATTAACAGTTTTTATTTGATCTTTTTGTCGGATTTCAGTACTTTTTAGGTGCATTTTTACCTGAATTGGTGCTTAATTCTTTGCTTCTCGTGTTTCAGGTTACAATGGACTTTTTGGCAAATAAAGAAAAATTGGATAGTTTTGACTCAGAAATTAGCAGATCTCAGAAGAAGGAAGTTCCGGAGCATGGACAAGCACGATGAGGCTGTTCCCAAGGAAAGAGCCGAGAATCGAAGAATCGAACGAGAAGCAGCCAGTTGCAGTTCTGTAAATTCAGACTTTTGAAGAGCTTCGCCCCGGCGAAGAAAATGTCTTCGCCGCGGCGAAGTGGCCAGGGACGAACTTATCTGTTATTCTTCTTCGCCGCGAGATAGTCAACTTAGTCATTTTGTAAACGCACAGTTTCGTGTGGTGCGTGTTTTGGCTGGTTTTTGGACTAGTTAAAGGAAACTTAGTGCTTTTGCCGAGGGATGCTGGAGCTTTTAGGTCAGCCGTTTTTTTTTTTTTTACATTTTTTCTTAGAGTACAATCTGGGAGTTTTTCGTATGTTTAAGTGAAGATTATCTTTTGACTAGAAGTTCATCTTTTGGGGCGATTCTTATCTTTCATCTCAGTTTCATTATGTTTAACTTGTTTGTTTCTATTTTTTTCGTTTTTGTAGTATTAATTTAGCTATGAACTATCTTTCATGGTTTAGGTTTTGATTGTAGTGTTGATTTTATGGGTTAACCTAATTTCACTCATAGTCACATTCATGCACAATGGTTGTAAATCGAATTCACTCAAATGTAAACTACCCTCTCGGGCTATTTTTCCTTTCATCCTTTAACATCCGCACCCAACAAATTGAAGGTTAATAATTTTGAATTCATTAAGCACAGAATCCTAAATTGATTTCATTATTCTTGAATCTATCTCTAGGCATCCATACTATATGTGTGATTACCGCAACACCCTGACATTAAATAGTCTCCATCCAGAATTGGAGCCGGATGAATACGCTGCTCATCATCTTGAACCTTGACTCCCGCGTTTAAGCACATAGCTGTGATGAGATGCGGGAAACAGTAACTCGCTCGCCCCTTTTTGGATGCTAGCTTGATACTATTGAGAATGATGTCTCCCACATCCATACTCTTTCCTGTGGCAATAGAGTAGAGCAGCATTGCCTTCTCATGAGTCACTGTGCTGTAGTGTGACTCCGGCATTAATTTAGCACAGACAAAGTACTGAAGCCGAGCCATTGGTGTCAACTGCGTTCCTTTGAGTGTCTTCTTTTGTTTCCTAGACACTTCCCACGCTGCCCCAGGTTTCGCAATGACCGGCAGGATAATATCATCATCAAAGGTTGATCTTTTGAACTCCACATACTGATCATTGAAAATTTCGGGCAAGTTATAGAAGTTGTTGATATCCCTTGCCGTAAATTACACATCCTCCCCTCGTACAAACACAGTATCTTCATGAGATTCCGGGAGGTTGGCATAGAACTCTCTCACCAATGGTTCTATAGCCATAACTTCAGGAGCACGCATGAACATGTCCCAGCGTCTCCCTCTACTCCAGTCCACAGATTGTGGTGCGGTCAATCCACGCTCAGGGATAAAACCCTTATCCTTTCATTTGATCACCTCTTCATAACGTTTACGGCTGCCTCGTTCACAAACTGATTGTCAACATTCTTCCCCTTGCTCTTATGCTTAATTTTCAGAGCCATTGATCCACTGAAATTCAATCCAAAATATTAACCCCAAGAAATTAGACCTACAAAGACACAGCCACGTCAAACCTGCAAAAACAACCCACACTTCCAAAAATTTGCAATGCAACCCCCAAACTACAAGTTTTCAATTCAACACAAACACTCCAAAAAGTCAACACCCACACTTCTAACAATCAATTGGTTCACAAACTTCTCAACATTAATCAAAATCACAATTCAAACAAACCCAAAATTCTCAAGTCAAAAGTTCAACACAATTCTTAGATCTATGATTATAGACTTAAAATTTTCCGAAATAAAGCTTTGGGTTTTCGAGATCTTACTGATATTAAAGAGTTTGCACCACCAATTGAACCAGAAACGACCCAAATAAGAAAGGCCCAAATTTTCGATCCAAAATTTTTTGTGAAATTTGTTATTGATACGGGTTGTTTTGGTGTTTAGGAATGTTGTAGAGTGATAGTTTTTGTTGGAAAAGCAAAATAGAAGTGAAAGATTGAAAGTTGAAAAATTTTCTCTCAACTCAAAATGCAAGGCGGCGTGAAGAATGAAGAAGAAAAGTTGATATTTATAAAAAAAGCTCGTCGCTGCGGCGAAGTTCATCATGCATAAACCCTAATCAATTTTTCCAGGTCTCGCCGCGGCGAAGAAGGATCTTCGCCCCGACGAAGTTCATCGTTCATGAACCCTAAAAATTCCCAGGTTTCGCCGCGGCGAAGAAAAATTCTTCGCCGGGGCTAAAACTTCCCTAGAGTACAAGGCTAACTTCGCCTCGGCGAAGAAAATTTCTTGGCCGCGCCGAAATGCCTTAGTCAAATTTTCCAAAAAAATTTCACTTTCTTCGCCGTGGCGAAGACACTTTCTTCGCCAAGGCGAAAATGTCCAGGAGCTTACCTGGTTTTCTTCATGTCCCTTCGCCGCGGCGAAGAAACTTTCTTCGCCCTAGCGAAGTCTGGAAATTTTTTATACCTTCCTTTGGCTCAAGACTTCACCTGAAACACCCAAAAACAATAAAAACATCAAATTTTAGACAAACTCATAATGAAATAAGATAAATTCGAACAACAAAAATTAAAATCCAAAAAGTTAAAAACACTTGGGTTGCCTCCCAAGAAGCGCTTGTTTATAGTCGAAAGCTCGACTCTCTCAATTCTCACTCAACCCGGACTGTCCAAATACATCACATCCCGGAAATTTCCATTGTACCGGAACTTAATTTGTTGATGATCTTTTTTAAACATTGGCTTTGTTGCAAGTTTCACTACCCATTTCCAGCCCTTGGTCATAACTTTGGTAGTTCGACTCTTCTCTCCGCCGCCTTCCATTTTCTTTGCTTAACTTCACCCTTTTCTATCCCAGAGATCTGTTCCTTATGTGTACTCAAACTCGACTGTGGCTTGTCTTGGACTTTTGTGCAACCTCTTCCGTCATGGTCCTCACTGCCAAACTTATTCGGTTCAACAATGCAGTTCTTAATTTCCACCTTAAGATTATTCAGTTGGCAGGGCTCAACTCTTGACTGATTTACCACATCGATTTTTAAACACGATTCTTGTTCAGGTGGAGCTTTCATTGATCCAAGGACATTAAATGTTATTTCTTNTTTAACCTCTTATATATAATTGTCTTGTTATGACATCGTCCATATTGCCGGAGAACATTTTAATTTTCTATGCTTGTTGAAAATGATGTTAGGAGAGGGGTTTTTGGGCATTTAGGTGAAAAATATGATTAAGGGCCAGTTTGCTATTTCATTAATTTAATTTTTTGAGGTGTAAGATAAGCACAAAAAGAAAGCTTGCCAATTGCTATGACAATAACATAACTAGAAGAAGAAGCTTTTTAGTACGGGCCGGTTTCAAGCCCAAGCCCATATAGGTGGATCTAGAAATTGAATTGTAAGTTAATTTAAGCAAGACTAAATAGTAATACTACACACGCAAACCCTTCTCATTAACTTTCTCTCACAAATGTGATATGTCAGTTTGTGATTGGTCAGCTTGTAATAGGTCCTATCTGTCCAAATACAAACTGACCAATTACGAGTTGTCATGTCAACGTTTATGAGAGAAGTTTGTGAAAAGTGTTTGTCAACCTATCTTTATTCCAAAATTAAAATGGGTTAATATCACATTCAACATAAGATCAATTGACTAACGCTTAATTGAATATATCAATATTTCTTACTTTTACATGTTCTTTTCATGTTTTGACAAGTTTGACCTTATATATATATTTAGCATTTAATTCTCACATAAACCTTAACTCTAAATTCTCGTAATTATTGAAGCCTTTTGTTTTATTTCAAGTATTTGTTTGTTTGATGACAGTATATTACAAAAAATAGAGGAAAAGATCAAACAGTAAGAGAATATGAAAAGAAAAAAAAAAGGTTTAAAATTTAAAATTGGAGAAATTAGAGTGTAAATAAAAAACCTAATTAAGCTTAGAGAGCTATTTTCGAGATTTAATGGGGGTGTAATGTAAATAGACTTTTTTAAATATAAAATATGTACATCTAGTAGCGAGGGATACTAGTAAATTAGGTGGAGGCTAAACATAATTTTCTTACATTTTTCTTCTTTTGAAATATTTTCGATTTAAATTCTTAGAAGTGAGGAAGTTATTTCGTTTCAAAGTTTTAAATGGTAACATTAATAATTTGAACCACTACTGGTTGGCCTTATGATAAAAGGGCAAAAGAAGATCTAATATGACCTCTCAAGTTCGAGTCTTCTTAATGGTAAAAGAATAAAATGATGATTTAACATGATTTTCTAAGTTCGAGTCCTCACGACCCCTAATAGGGGTGACCACTAGAGCTCTTATCTAGTCGGTAGTTTCGAGGTCTCAGAGAATTAGTTGAGGTGTGCATAAGCTAACTTAAATACTCTCGGTCACCCAATCATAAAAAAAAATTAATAATTTGTTATATAAAAATATTACATACAACAACTTTCGTATTAATAGCACCAAAATAATTTTATCTTCTTTCACGGTATAATTTTCATGTCTCTCAATCTCCCCACCCACATTCTAATGCTCTTGAATGTATCAACAAAGCCATGAAACCCAAATTCTCTACTCTTATTCATGCTACAAACATGTTGAAAATCAAAACTCAACACAATTTTTAAAGCATCAAAGCAAGTTATCTCCTCCAATTTGGTCTTCAAAAGCCCATGTTTCCTCACAATTTCATCCCAAACTTGTCCTTTCTCCTTCATCATCTCCACCGCATCAAATCCTTTTGCAATCTCATCATCAAACTCCACAAATTCAACTTCAAACACTTGACATAACACTTTCCATAAGCTCTTCCATGTAAAAACATTTCCATGTGTGCAATTAAACACTTGATTCTTTGCCTTATCACACTCTATAGCTGCCCATATGTGTTGTTGGGCTAGTACACGTGCGTCAGACATATCGCAGAAATGTTCCCACGTGTATCGAGTACCTTTGTATCAGAAATTAGATTAATTTATCCTAGCAATAATAATACATGTTTGACAAAAAGAAACTCTAGAAATGATAATTGACTTTACATTTTTCAGTAAGTATGGTTTCCAGTCTAATCTTATAGTCTAATCTTATAAACTTTCTCTCATAATCTTAATATGACAATTTACAATTTATCAACTCGTAAATAGATAAACAAGACTTATAATAAACAGACGAGACTCATTACAAACTGATCAATCACGAGCTGTGAGAGAAAGTTTGTGAAAATATGTTGTAAGTGTAGTCTCGTCTCATTACAAATTGATCCATCACGAGCTGTGAGGGAAAGTTTGTGAGAATATGTTATAAGTGTAGTGTTACCGAACACGTATGTACATATAATACACCAAGTGTGGATAATGCGTCAAACATATGGTAGTTTTTTAGATTTATAATAACCAATTTTCACTTACATATATATATAATTTTTCTTATGTTTAAAAATTAACCTCCAATTAAGTAATTTTAACATTTCTTACCTAGATATCTGAACGGCAAGCTCTGGTGCTTACAAATGGCGGCATAAACCGCCAAAGTGAGAAGAGAATTATGCAAACTTCTTGAAGAAGCTCCAACAATGATAGAAGAACGATGCACCGAGAACGTAAACGCCGGTGAATACGAAGCCACAAGGTCTTCCAAAGCATAGTAAAAGTTCGGATATGGAAGCCGCGGCGAGTCCTCCACAAACGGCGGCTCATGGCGCACGAGTTTCCCGGCCAACGACGGGTCAAATATCGGACCCATGTAGTGTTTCGTCCCTGTTTGCAAAGTCACGTGACGCAGGCGAGAAGGAGAGGCTGTTGTGAGAGCGTCGAGTACGTTTCTGAGCATTGTCGAGTTTCTTGAGATGTTTGTTTCTTCGGTCTCTTGAAGCTGGAAGGCGACCCAAAAAACGTGGGTGATTTCGCCGGAGATTGGAGAGAGTTTCGTGAGAGTGTCCGTAGAGCTTAAGGCATCGAAGGTGATGAAACTGTGGAGGAGAGAATAGGGGAACCAACTTGGCGAAGGACGGCGGGCGGCACCGTGGATTTTCCAATTGTGGTGGTGGTTGTGTAGGGATTCCGCTAAGGGTAAGCCGGCCATTCCAGTGACGCCGACGATTAGGACGACTGATGGATCTGAAGTTGTGGGATTCTGATTTTGTTCCATGAGTCACAGAGAGGATTTCTCAAGATGGAAGGAGAAGTCTAGAAGTAAAATGTTTATTAGGCCGGCAGGAAAAGCATCTAAAGGATAAGGAAGAAATATTCTATGTGAATAAGGAAGAAAGATTCCAGGTGAAAAAGACAAATATCCCGCTCTCTTATCTTTCATAAATAACAGAATTTCTCCCCTATGTTAAATTTGAGTGTCAAATCATATTGTAAAAACTAGGAAGGTATAGGCGAAAGTTTTCAAGCTTAGTGGGTGCAATGAGCCCCGCTCCCTTTAGTGATACATTCCAAGGTTAGACTTTCATGTTTAATATTCTTTTAGCTATTAATTAGAACCTCTCTATAATCATAATACTAGGTTAAATAAATTTATTACTATAATTAGGTTATAACTTAAAGAGGTGTAGTTACAAAAATTCTTATATTGATTTATTATTTTATAATTCATGTTTTAGTAATACAAATGAATTGAGTAATCAGATTTAACAACTTTATTATACTAATTAAATAAATTTTAACATCTTTCTTAATCATCCAAATTAGCAACAAGTCGTATATGCTTTAACTGAAGAAAAAATCATTGCTGAAATTAGAGAAGAATATGAATAAGATAATCCTAAGGATAATAGTACAGAAATACCAAAAGTTTTGTGTCAAGAAACTCTAAAAATACTTGAGAAGTGAGAAATATTTTGGCTTCAACAAGAAGGTATCCATACTAACGACTTATTATGTATCCGCAAGATAAAAGATGTAGTGACAACTCTAAAGCATAAATCATTGTCTCAAACAATTTTAGATAAATATGTTATTTCATCCTAACCTTTAGGGACCGTTTGGATCGAGGGTATATAAGATAACGGAGGTAATCTTTGTTTATTTTACAAGATTCTAGTGTTTGGTTTGTAAGTAATAACATATTACAGTAATCTTTTTATTGCAAATAATGTTTACTGTTGGTAATATGGGAGGTAATCTTATTACCTTGTCAGGCGGTGTTATTAAAACATTACTAGGGTAATATGATTTTTCTATCCATTTTACCCTTAATTAAAAACCATTTCAATCATGCCCTCAAATGTATGCCAAATAACAATTACCCAACCCCTCTACATTTGAGAAATTAGCTAAAACACCCTAGCCACAAAAAAGTTTAAAAGGTAAGAAAATACCCCTAACCACCCAAGACCACCACCAGTCGTGACTCACCACCGCCAGCCGCAGGTGTCAGTCGTCGTAATGGTGCACAACCAGTAGGATCTGGCCGGTCATGAGCCAATAAGGCCTTTTTCGGCCATGGATCTCCAGAAACGGCCAGATCTGGCGTTTCTATGGTCGTTTCACGGCCAAAGATGTGGTCATCAAACAGCCACAGATCTGGCCGTGAAATGGCCATAGATCTAGCAGTTTTTCGACCACATCTTTGTGATCCATGGCCATTTTCGGCTTTGTCCGAGCATAACCGGCCATATACGGCTAGTCGTGCACCATTTCGTCGACTGTCAGTGGTGGTGACTGGCTGTCAGCAGTGGCTTGGGGTGGGTGGGGGTGATTTTGTTATAAATTAAAGTTTTATATGGCTGGAGTTTTTTAACAAAATTTCAAATGTCGAGGATTAAAAGAAATGATAATAAAAAATACTATTATATTAATATTTAAAAAGGAGGGCAATTTAGTAATTTATGTAATATACCCACCAATTTATTCGAACCAGCTAAACACATTTTCCAAACATTCACAGTAATCTTCAAGGTAATCTTTCTTTCTGTTAATATAATATACCTCTATAATAAAATATTATATGATCCAAACGCCCTCTTAATATAACATAACATATATTTTTTATAATATACTNTGGCTAGGAATGGTCGTCCCAAGATAAGAGGAATTTCTTTGTCTTCTTCCATATCCAACACAAAGAAATCCGCAGGAAAAATAAACTTGTCCACCTTAATCAACACATCCTCCACTATACCTCTTGGAAGCTTTATTGACTGATCTGCAAGTTGCAAGCATGTGGATGTCGGCTTAACTTTACCAATTCCTAATTTCCTGAACACAGAAAAAGGCATAAGGTTAATGCTAGCACCTAGGTCACATAGAACTCGATCAAAAGTTAAATCTCCTATAGTGCAAGGAATAGTAAAACTCTCTGGATCTTTAAGTTTCGGGGGCAGCTTCTTCTGGAGAATAGCACTGCACTCTTCTGTAAGCATCACCGTTTCCTCTTCTTCCAGCTTCCTCTTATTCGATAAAATTTCTTTCAGGAACTTCGCGTAGCTCGGCATCTATTGTAATGCATCTGCAAAAGGAATGTTAATATGCAGTTTTTTAAACACATCAAGAAATTTAATAAACTGCTTATCCTGATTCTCTTTTTTGAGTCTTTGAGGAAATGGTATAGGTGGAGTGTGATGTGCCAACTCTGGTGGAATTTCGGGGAATGGCAATTTCTCTTTCTTTTGTTCCTGCTTCTGCTCATCTTTCTTCAGGCTGGGTGGTTTCTTTTCAGCTTCAATTCCTTCATCAATTTCATCATCAGAATCTTCATTTTTCTTTGATGAAGTTTCTTCTGTCCTTGAGTCCCTCACCTCTTGTAAAACTCTCCCACTTCTCAACGAGATTGCATTTACTTGCTCACGGGGGTTGGTTACTGTATTGCTCGGTAGAGAACCCTGTGGTCTATCATTCAGCTTCTCGGCCAATTGGCCCATCTGTACCTCAAGATTCCGAATGGACGCCCCTTGGTTTCTAAAGTTTTTCCTCGTCTCATTCATGAACCCTGTAGTCTCTTGCATGAATTTACCTAACATATCCTCCAACTTCGTCACTCTTTGATCTCCCGGTTGATTGGTCACCCCTGGNTATTTATAATTGGTTCAAGTTAGGATTAAAATTTTTTATGACTATATAGAGATTATTCCTCTATATATAATATCACTATAGAGAAGTACTATTATATTATGATATTAAAGTGTTATTAAAAAGAAAGTCTTCTGAGTAGAACGAGCGTTCAACTTTTATCTTTGAAAGTCTATGTAGACTGTTGTTATAAACATTCATAAAAAATTAAGAGAAAACATAGAATACTACAATGATACTTATCTTGTCATTCACACTACGATATGATAACTTGTATGATCTCTAAAGTCTATATATTCTATGATGGTACCGTGTTAGCACGTTTCATGCACATAATCACATTACAACCAGCTAATTTTATACCATCTTTATAGAGTCATTCACATTACGACCTGATAATTTTGTACCATCTTTAAATCCTATATAATATGATGGTACCGTGTTAGCACGTTCTACTAAGTTCTAAATTTTGAATAGTTTTCAAGAAGAATAACTTTTTTTTTTTTTACAATTTTTATAAATATTATAATAATCGTAAGCATATTATATCCAAATATATAATTACAATTATATACAGAGGTTAAGTGTGTAAAATATATTCATGAATCTAGAATACATTTAATAAATAATACCATACAAAATAAGACATCGCTTAATTATAATGAAAAATTAGGAATTACAGCTTAATGTTATTCAAAATCTTATATTTATTGTCTCATTAAAATAAGTTAAAATCCAAACATTTAAATCATAGAGAATTATTATTTATTTATAGTATAGATATGTTATGCCTAAAAAATTAGGGCTGACGCGAGCTTATGTCAGCCAACGCCAATCAGAGTTTAGGAAGACTTTATATCATCCAAGAGCTGCCACCTCGTCCAAAGACAGAAATAGTATAGTTGTTATCAACTTAGCAGACTTAGGCTTTATCTACGAGTGGATGGGAGTTATCCACCTGTCCAAGCCCTGTGTGATTTGAGGATATCTCCTATGTAATCAGCCAATGGGAAGTGCGGTAGGAATTATACTACACCTGCCCACTTGCAGACTTGTAATCATTACCCTGAAACCTTTTACTATAAATAGATGGCTCCCTCTCTCATTTTGGGATTCTGATAAAAAACAAGCAATCTAAGTGTAACCTTTTATTCTCAGACCACAAATAACATGTAAGAAAGAGACTAACTTGATATTCCCTCTAAATAATCAGTCATTTGTAACTCTGCTCGCTGTTCGCTATACATGACCTCTTGTAACCTCATATATATAAAAGAACACTGGACGTGGGATTCGCTTTAAGCATCCGAACTACTTTAAAAATCATCTTCCATGTACTTCATTGCATTTTTCATTCACGTGTAATTTCTAAGCCAGCTTAGCACTTTACACGTGTGAATTGTTGGTGTCAAAATCCAGCATCAACAATTTGATACTAGAAGAAATGCGTGATTTGGTATCCACTCTTCATCAAGAATCTTTGATCAATTAGCTCTGCTTGCTGACAAATGGCTCATAGTTTTGAAACCGAGTGAACTAGCCCCAACCCCGAGGAGATCCCCCAAATATAGGACAATACTTCTTCCGAAGTACCTCACATTCCGCAGAATACCGCAGCAGATTTTCCCTCGATCTCACAACTCGATCTAGTTGTGAGGAGTTACTTGGAGAGGTTCAGCAATACTCTTGAAATGATTAGCAGAAGGCCAGACTATTTGGATCAGGTCATACCGCCCGATTCCGATAAGGCGGTATTATTGCCAAAGACGCCTGTAGGCCGCGCTAAAGCACAGAACAGGCAAAAACTCATTTCGCACGCACTACAGCATGTAAAGACAAGGGAAAATAGGCGGCTGATAATGGACTAAAGAGCTCCAAGGGACCAGCAAATGCCGATCGTGAAGCAGGTAAAATACCTATAGCTTTACGACTTGGCGATATATCACATCATGAGTCGTCCCACGCCACATCGCATGGGCACCCCTAAAAGAGTGCATGGTAGGGAGATTCCCTTCATCGCCGGTGCGATGGTCTTGACCATCACCACGAGGGAAATGCCCACCATACACGGGTTGGTTCTGACCACCATGGAGGTCAGGATAGCTCCCCTGGCCATTCAATGCATACACATGGCTCCAGCCAACGTGTGTCAAGGCATGCCAAAGGCTCTAACTGAGGTGAAGAAGAGTCCGACCTGCGGTCTTTCCTCAATCGCAATCGTGAGGGTCAAACCCAAGTTGCAGAAAGTGATCCCCA